AAAAGATTATGATATTATTGATTATATTGTTATTGGTACGTAGTTTTATCTAAAAATATATAAATTTTTATTAAATTTTTTTTTTATATTATATTAATCGTGAAGAGAACAACTCTTTTAAACAATATATAAAAAAGTAATATGTATATTTATGTTATTTATAATTTTTATAGCATGTCACTTTTATCATTTTGTTTATAGACTTTTTTTTCTCCATGTAGATAAATAGATAGATACAGATATAGGTATGCACATATAGTGGAATATATGTCCCTCTTTGAGGCTAATAATTATACTTGTGATTACAGCCATCATAAGGGTTTTATTCTAATTTATTTTTTGTGATCTTTCTTCTTTATTATATTAGTTATAAAATTTATGTAGTACTTACAATTATCTCATCAGACTGCACCTTTATTTCAATACAAACCCAAGAAGTTGGTTTCTTATTATTTAAGAAGAAAATTATTATATTTCTATTATTCGATTGGATACAAAATGCAGAAATCTAATTTCTATCCAATTTTTTGTTCCTCTTGACAGTCTTATAGGAAGACTTCAACACCAGAGAAGTAAGTTTTTGAATTATGGTTTTACCTGTTTCGTCTTTTAACACTTTAAGAAATGGATTTTTCATATACATTTATGCAGATTTTCTCATCATCATTCACTTGAATTTCAAGTTCTATATGTTGAATTGGTTTACTTCAAGTGTAAATTCTTAAATTGTGTTTGCTTTCAGGATTACCTCTGACTGGCCAAGAACACTTCAACTGGGTCGACTTTTATGCCGCAAGTTCTTCAGTGACTTGTATTTATCTTTAATCAATGCTTCATATTTCCTTTGATTTGCTCTTCTCTTCAATATAATTATAATTAAGGTTTAATTAATTCCATAACAGTTTTTAAGTATCAGTTTTCTGTGTTTTGTTGCCAGTTTATACCATGACGAAGAAGAGTACCTGGTCTTTGAGGCTAAGCATATTCACCCAATCTTTGAACAACTAAGGACGAAGCATTTTGTGAGTACCAAACAAGACTTTCTTTTTTCTTGCATTCAATTTTGCATTTTCTGGTGCTCCTAATTTTGTCTTTAATGGATATACACACGTTTTTAACTCCTTGATAAGAACTAGTTTTGATCTTACATTTATTTATATATGAGCTCTGGTAAAAAAAAAAAAAGAAAGAAAACAATTTATTGTGGAAGAGATAAAAACTTCATGAGAAAATGGAGGTCTTACAAGCAGGGAAGAGGATTCAAGGAGACTTAGATAAAATTAGGGCAGAAAACCCAAAACCCCAGCTATTATCTTTCTTCACCTCCTCCAAACCCTCACAAAAGGCATTGAAGCTTCCTTCTCTACTTCCGGTTTCGCGGGAGTAATTTTTTTTATGGCAACAAGAGAAACCCTAAAGCAACTCACATGACGAGATCGGCTTTGGAGCAATTGTAGCCTTTCTTCCCGATCACCTCAGGCGCCACGTACGCTAGCATATTAGCACGTGTTGTCCTGCTTGAGGTGCTTGGAGAAGGCGCAGAAACCAAAACGATGACCTTCAGATTGCGATCTTCATGGAGAAGAAGGTTCTCGGGTTTTAGGTCATGGTAGTACCTTTTTGGCTGCGGTAGAAGTTAACGGCTGAAATCAACAGCTGGAAGTAGACCTGTCCCACGTCCTCCTTCGATTGACCCTCGGCGACCTTAGCGAATAGTTTAGCACCGTGAGCGAGCTCCGTGGCAAATTAGATCTTGGACTCATAATCTTACCCAGAACCAGTTGTCCTTCCTCGTTTTGTAGAACAATCCAAACAACCCAGAAGAAAGGTTGAAGATGACGCAGATCTCCTGTCTGTTTACTTGGAAGTTGAAGAAGACTGAGATCTTTTGTCCTAATTCTAACTTACTCTTCTTTTTTGCCCTAATTACCATAAGCTATAAATTATTTCTTTCTTCTCCCCAAAGAGAAGTTTATGTTTTTTTCATTTACAACATATTTGAATAAATTTTAGTGATAATTAAATAATGTATGACAATGATAACGATTGATAATAATAACATAGAATATGAATGAGAAAAATTCTTTTATATTTCTATGATTGTTTAATGACATATTTTTATTTGAATGATATAATTGTATTGTCAGTTAAATTATTAATTTATAATAATAAATAATATATAAAAAATATTTAATAATAAAAAATTATTTATCAATATAAATATATTTGTATTTAAATAAATAATTATTATATATAATCAAATTAAATTTTTATATTTAATGAAACAAATAATAATTTATGAAAATAAAAATAGAATTAAATATATTATATGAGGGTATAAAGGAAAAACAAAGTAACATGCCGGTCACGTATTATCGATTATGTGGTTTTAAAATTCATTCTAAATTTACATACCATTTGCTACAATTGGAAGTTGAAACAAATATGATTTTTTCACACCCGTTTATTATACTTTAAAATACTATCATTCACCACAATCAAAGCAAGGTGAGTGAAGTTAATGCTTCTGAACAAAATTAAAAATATAGAGAACAAATTTAATGAGAGTTAGTCTTAAAGACTGAATTGTAACATTAAACAAATTAGGGGACAAAATTTGCCATTAGTTTTAATTTTATTTGTAATTTTACTGTCAGAATGAGGTATGAATATGTTGGCCTTGGTGACTAAACTCGGTTGCCAATTTAGTAAGGTAATTGTTCATCTTTCCAAATAAACACTCATTCTATTGATCACGAACATCTTAAGTTTAAATTTTCAGTAGTGTGTGATTTGAGCTCATTATATGAAACTCAACAGTTATATTTCTTTTGAGATTGAAGTATTATAATCACTAGTATTCAAATTCTTAATCTCCTTATTAGGATTACATATCAGTCATAAATCACAATAAAAAAATTTATAAGATACAAAATCGTACTAGTCTAAAGTTAACGAACTAACATACACTTTGAGATACTAATTAACATCTACAGGGACAAAAAATTAAAAATATTTACAAAAAGATTATAATTGTATTCTAATATTTTATATTATCTATCTTATAATTTTATGATGGCCTAAATTCCTAAAAGTGATGAATTAGTTCTTATACTATTTAGAATGTCATGAATCCAATTACATATATTTTTGATGTAGAATTAGAATATACAATTATCGTTATTTAAATTTTTGATGTCCTCATAAGGCCACATATTACAATTAGAAAACACAATTTAAAGAGACACATGGTCCAAAATCATACCAACATGAAGTCATCGAGCTAGCATGCCTCTTATACTAATTACTACCTAGAGTGACAAAATACAAAAAATATGTGTGCAGAAAATGATGATATTATGTTTTAATTTTTTTATATTATCCATTTACAATTTTATTATAGGTCAAATTTCTAAAAGCGATAACCTAGTTCTAAAACCATTTATGCCGAACTTAAGCTGTACTTGTCCAACAATTTTTTGGATCTGACTACCAATCTTCAAAAGTTCAAACTTTAAATTATTTGTAGTGTAGGATTTGTACCCTT